GAAACCAGGCCCCGGTTTCACAAAGCATTCTCAGACTTTACTCAATATTCAATCACGGTTTATGAGAAATATTTTAGACCCAGAAACACAAAAATTTGCACATATTTATAGTTTCTTATTGATGTATTTGATACATTAAACATACATTATGCAAGGCCTGAAATGTTATCTAAATTATTAATTAGACATTAATTAACTTATCCAGATCATAATCAACTCTCGATGGCATCGCTAGCCTGAGATATTTACTGGATTAGAACTCGGCCTGCTGCTTCTGATATAAAAAAATTTAAAATGGATAATCGAGACTATGTTTTTTATCGTACCATTTTTAGCAATGATGATCGAGGCTAGGCCCAAAATTCAATCGCTAAATACTTGGTTTAGTGTGGATCAATTTGACTGAAATTTTCAGAAAATCCCCTTTATATATTATAGTGAAAACTACCAGCTCTTTATCTAATCCCCCATAATGTATCTTTAAAACAAACAAGCCAACAGTGAGAATGATGTCCCCCGCCGAAATCCCCCCCCCCCACCAAAAAAAAAGAAAAAAAGAAAAGATGACACATATTAAACATGCATTATGCAAGAGCAAAATCTGCTTATTACAAGTCTTTCTTTAGGCCTGAAATGTTATCTAAATAATCGATTAGACATTAATTAACTTATCCAGGCCATAATAAACTCTCGATGTAGGCTGGATTAGATTCCTATATGCCGCTAACGGACATTGATAATTAAATCAAAAAAGTGGATAATCGAGACTGTGATGTTTATATTAATGATTTTAGTGATGATGACCGAGACTATGCAAAAGTTTCACCCGCTTCTTTCTCGGCTCATAGTCAGGGGCGGATTGAGCGATCGGGCGATGGCCCGAAGGGCCGGTCGGACAAAAAATGAAAAATATAATTTTATCCAATTCGTCTAAAAAAAACCTTTTTCTGCTGAACATTATATGTATATGTGTGTGTGTGTGGAGGGGGGGGGGGGTATTGGACCGGCCATGGAGCGATGATGATCATGTTGTATGTGGCCGGTGGCTTTAACGGGCCGCCACGCCATCACTGGAGTCAGGAATGGGCTGGCGGTATAATAGACTTTCTGGGCCGAGTGTGCGTGGTGTGGGCCGGAATTCGGAATCCTGCATAATATGACGATATGATAATTTCACAGGTTGATGATTGTAAATTACTTGCAGGTCGGGGTTTTGGCCTAAATTAATCGATTTATGAGATGTATTATTTGACAGAGATTATAATCAGATATGCCACCAAATCACATATTTGGGGTTCATTTTTCAAAATTTTCCCCGGCGGACTCCGCGGTCAGTAAAAGGGGCCGCTCCGACACGGGTGCCCGGGCCGGTTTCCGGCCCCAATCCGCCCCTGCTCAAAGTGGATCAATTTGACTGAAATTTTCAGCAAATTACCTTTACACTATCTAGTTTTTAACTATTATAGCGAGAACTGCCATCTCTTTATCTTATCTCCCATAATGTATCTTTAATTAATTGCACATTTATCTTTTTCAAAAAGTATCGAGTAATCAAACTGATTATCTATGCTTAGTCTAAGCATAAAATGTGCACTATCAAACTCAGGTTTTGAAGTACCATCACTCTCCATCAAGAATCAAGATCAAAGTTATCTTGTCTCAAAGCATCGACCAAAGAAATTGCTTAGCTCTGCTTAGCTTTAATGGGAAATATAAATCAATGAACTCAGTCAAGACATTCGCATGAACGAACTGTGTCGAGACATTAACGTATAGACACCAACGCCAATTTTGAACATTCTACCTTAATTAGAAGGAGAGTTTTTGTGTTCCAAAGTCTCGACCAATCAGATTGAAGTCTTTACTTTGCCGAAGTAGAAAATGCTCAGTATCGAACCTTGTCATGGTATTGATGTAATAAAACTATACACGAAGTTTCACCACTATCACTCAATTCGAATCAAAGTTGTCGAGCTCCAAAGTCTCGACCAATCAAATTGATTATCGCTTTGCTTACCCTGAGCAGAAAATGCTGTCATAATCAAACTTAGTCAAGGTATTGATGTGATTAAACTATACACCAAGTTTCATCACTCTTACTTAATCAGAACCAAAGTTACCGTGCCCCAAAGCATTAACCAATCAAATTGCCTATCCCTGCTTACCCTAAGCAGAAAATGCTCATCTTTGAACTCCATCAAAACATTCACCCAATCAACGCCTACACCAAGTTTGAACATTCTACCACAATTCAAAGGAGAGTTATTGTGTTCCAAAGTCTCGATCAATCAAATTGCTTATCACTCTGCTTACCCTGAGCAGAAAATGCTCAATATCGAACTTAATTAAGGTATTGATGTAATGAAACTATACACCAAATTTCATCCCTCTCACTTAATTAGAACTAAAGTTATCGTGCGCCAAACCATCAACAAATCAAATTGAATATCTCTGCTTACCCTAAGCAGAAAATGTTCATCTTCGAGCTCCATCAAGGCATTGTCCAAGTAAACACCTACACCAAGTTTGAACATTCTAGTTCAATGAGAAGGAAAGTTATTGTGTCCCAAAAAGTGTGAAGGACAGACAGACAGACGGACGAACCCATTTTAATACTCCCCTGCGTTCTTCGAAAGGCTGAGGGGGGGGGGGGACAAAAACGTTTTATAAGGGGTTATAGTTTACTTAAAATAAGGCGAACAATTTTGAGAATATTTTGTGAAACATGTGTCAGACCTCTTGATTCAATGACAGGCCTATATATGACCGTCTATATATACTTACAGCCAATAAGCAAAAACAAAAGAACATCATAGGTACACTGTTAAAATTATGATAACTGTATTTTAACATTGCGTGTTATTTCAGTCTGTAATGTCACTTTACCTCTAGCTATTATACATCCAAGGTAAATTTACATATCTGTTCGTTCGTTCGTTTCTGGTGTTTTATGTCCACTTCCACCTAAGGTGATATCGTAGACAAGTTACATATCTGTAAACGGGGTAGGCCTACATGTAAAATTACAATGAAGTTAATTTACATAAGTTGGTAAAATAACATTGTAAAAACAACCATGCTGTGTTATTTGACAGAATTTATGTAATTATACCTCATAACAAATGACAATGTTTCTGCAAATAAATGTACCATTCTAGTGTAGATTTACATATAATTTGCCAAGGTAAAATTACTAAAGGGAACACAGAAAGTTTTGGGGATCTTTCAGCAGAGCATGTAAAACAACACTAGACAATTGAAAGAAATTAAATGAAATGGGGTTTATCGTCCTACTGTTCTGCTCCGGACAATGGAAAGAGTAGAGGCATTCAGATTTCCAATAACCTTTTTCTCTAAAATAGACTAAACTGACTGACAGAATAATAAATATTTTGCACAAAATTCGATATGTGATCAAAGGGGGAATAACCGACGTGACCACTATTTGACAGTATATTTACAGTTTGCTGTAAAAATAATATTTCAAATGACATTCTGTTAATATACAGCTCAAATTTTGTAAATTGACACATGGTTTTATTTCTACATTACGTTTGATGTAATCTTACGCAAGCCTTGTAATCATATTCATATGCATTTACATCGTTTTAAATGTAAGTTAACAAACTATTTGATCTGATAAATTCGAAACTGTATTTTTACAGCAAATTGTAAAAATATACATATTCACATCGCGGACTGTTTTTTTCCAGTCGGATTGATCATGATGCATGCAAATGATAATGATCTCAACAAATTAATGGCCCAAAAAATAAATAAGCAACAAGAATATTTAAGGTTTTTTAATTTCAGCATTCACATTTAACGATTTGGTATCATTTTGATTTTGAATTACATTATGTGGGGGTAATTACATTTTCATATTTGTGCTTAGGGACTTAAATGGCTAAATCTATTTGTTATAGCCAGCTCAATTTTTGTCAAGGTCTCTGATAAGGTTAGAGCACGTGATTGTTGGCGAGATTGTAATTTAGGGTTAAGGTAAGCATTAGGCCTAGCTACAGGGTTAGGGTTGAGATTAGGGCTAGTCCTGTTTACATCTCGTGACCTATGACGAAAAATTGAGCTGGCCTTGTCATTTAGCGCTAACTGGCCTTAAATGGTCTTTTTCACTCGGCAAACCTCAGCAGATTCCAGTACCCTACATGTAGCCTCGTATGTATGACAGAAATGAAATGAAATGGGGTTTAACGTCCTACTATTCTGCTCCAAACTGGGCTAATCAAGACGTACGGGCATACGCCATAGCCTACAGTGTGCTATGAGGGAAATTTTGCCCGGACAGCGGCACTACGACCTACTCTTATATCGAATTCCAACTGTCAAAGGATCTTTTACGTGCACATCAATGTGTACATACATGGTCTCGGTTTTTCGTCCCATCCGAACGACTAGACAGCTGTACTTGTCAGGCCCTCCGTCCTTCATCACTGACAAGGGGGAACCACGCCGACCTCCAGGCTAGCGAGCCAGCGTTTTACCCACTTAGCCACGTGACTCCGTGATCCCCCGGCTGAATGACGAAGTCCGCCATTGGAACTACTTTCAAGTTCCCGGATTACCAACGGCGTTGCCCATGACGACGTCTTTGAAGAATATTTTATCATACAAATATTTCAAAGTCTGAAGCTGTTTTTCTTTCAAGTTTTTCCGATTTTCTTCAAACAAGGGCAACTTTGCACTAAAAATTCTACACACGCTGCGATCAGTGACCGTCATAAATAAAGTCGACGTTAGACGAGTGTGGTTTTTTTCTGACACCTGATTAATAGATTTATCATTCCGTGGGATTATCTAGTCATGGGTAAATGAATCAGTTCAATATTATTTATTAATTAATACATCTGATCCAGTTTACGCTTCGGTGGTCATACTGAACTCCTGGCTTGATAGGGGACGTGTCTTGACTGGTTAAATGCCGCATGTCCACGTTGCTATTTTGTATCCAACTGGTTATTCCCCTTTCGAAACAAATTACCCACAATTCTAATGGTGACGTGTAGCGGCCATTTTCTAAATACCTGACAGGGCTAACAATTTATTTACTGTTTTGAAGCTTGTACAACTTGATGTTACATTTGTAACAAGACCGTTTTTCGCCATGAACATACAGTTTAGCCTTTTGTTGGCATTTTTAGCCAGCGCACCTCATACTTCTGCCTTCTATTTACCTGGTTTGGCACCTGAAACTTACTGCGATGTCAACTTTGCCAAAGACGAACCGTCACACTGGGCGAACTGCAAGGTTGGTAAATTGGGTCGATAATTGTAGGCCCCCAATATAAATTTATTAAAATTCCGATGCATTGCCGATAGCAACAGCGTGGCATTACTTGAATTCATTGTATTTAGTCGTATTAATATTTAATATTCCATCGAAAGATTCACATTTTTAGATAAGCTTAGGTTTAAAGTAGCTATGTCTCTAACTCAATGAATATCATACAAAGTCTTACACGTTGAAAATACGAATTATTTGTCAATTCAAATCAACATTGATGTTGTGATCTTACCAGGAAAAGGCAGGCTTCTGATATCCAATATTTAAGACAAAATAAACATTTTACCATTGGTACACGAATCGTGTACCATAGTGCGTTTTAGCGTCATTTGCAACAAGTGACCAGAAAGAACGAGGCTAGACATATTTAACTGGAGAGCCTGCTTAATAGACTGGAATAACCAGACGCTAGAAATTGCTATAGGGTTGAGACACATGCCGTATTTCGCTGGACATAACTGATTTGAAATTAGACTCAAAACGGAAACAATTGAATGTAATCAGTTTATATACAATCAGATTGGCCCATTTGGGTCAATTTCTAGGTCCCAAATATTAGCGATTTAGCGCCTTTAAAGTACTGTACGTCCGTAGCTAAAGTGAAGTAAGTGTAAGTGAGTAAGTAGTTAACTATTCTAACCCAAGTCTTTGACACTGAAAACACAAATTGTCAAATTATTTGTCAATTTAAATCAAAATTGATGTTGTGATCTTACCAGGAAAAGATGTGCTTCTGATTTCCAGAAAAAATAAACATTTTACTTTTGGTACACGAATCGTGTACCGTAACCGTAATGCGTTTCAGCGCCATTTGAAACAACATTAACAAGGGACTTTAGGAACGAGGCTAGACATATTCCACAAGTCATGTCAAATGGTGACCCCATATTCTTATCTGGAGAGCATGCGTAATAATTACTATCAGTGTAGACTGGAATACCGGTAACCAGACGCAAGAGATTGCCATTCGATTGAGACTTCCGGCATATTTCACCGAATATAACTGATTTGAAATTAGAGTAAAAATGGAAACGATTGAATTGTAAATCAGTTTATATTATTATATGCATTGCGACACATTTGTGTCAATTTTCAGGTCCCAAATATAAGCAGTTTACTTCCTTTAAGTATTACATCTATATGACTGTAGTCTGTAGATAGAATATGACTCACAATGAGTATGAATATAAAATTCATTGGAAGGAGATTTGTCACCATGCTAATTGCAATATAAGGTTTTAGAGCTCATCTGATGTGTTGATTGTTACGAAACCTAGCACCACAATACAAATATATGAATATATACCTTCATTGGCTTCGTGTTGAAGTTCAACTTTTATGAGCTCATTAGTCCCAAACCATGTTAACGGTTGAGATACATTAAAGTAGTCATTTGTCTGATAAATTTCAAGATACCGGTAAAACTTATAGGTAAATGAAGAAAATAATAATAGAATAGGGTAGACCTAAAAGTTTTGAACTTATTGTGCCAAAGGTTAATTCCCAGAGCATATTATTATACATGTAGCTCATCACAAACCGTTCAAAATATCTTTATAATAAAACTGAGAAATCTTATCAAATTTAATAATTTTTGTGATTCCATTAAAACAAATTTGACTTAGTTTTTGGTATACAAATTAATTCTGTTGGCCGACAATGTTCCTTAGGATTTTCCGGCAGGGTTTCCCCTTATAGTAGGTATTTTCAAAGTACATGTAAGACTAGTCTGGTGTCAGGACAAAATTTCAATCATAGCAGACTGCATGGTATATATCCTGTCTTCATTAGCGCGGATGGAGCTAAAATAGGATGTTAAACGCGTTTATATAATAATGATTTAACCCTTAATACAATAGAACAAAATCCAGCTAATGGCTGCTCGAAGACATTGCACATGTAGTTACTGCTGTCATGAATAAAGTTTAATGTTTTGTTTTTTTTTTAATGAATATAGCCTGTATACATGTAGATGATCAATAAAACATGGATCTACACATTTTGATTTTTTTTATATACAAATTACAAAGTAACACTAGAACAGTTCCTTAAAGCGATAATTTCATATTTTAATTGAGCAAAAGACATAGAAATAATTTTGTTTTGACTTTAATAGAAAATATGAAATTCTCGCTTTAAAAAGTGAAGAATTTCATTCCATAAATATCAGTACCCTCAGTACATGTATGTTATAGTGCTATACATTTTATTGATTTTATTTTATAAGTCGGCAGTCTGTTTCACATCTACATCAATATACATTCATGTAAAATATAATATTATATGTACATGTGTCGGAAGTGGAAACAGTTTCATTTGCTATATAAACATCCCAAAAAACACCTTCCAATGTACACTATCCGACTAGTATCTGTATCCGGATATTTGTTGTTTATATCTTGCAATGTCGATGTAGTTGTCTTTTCCGCAGGTTTGTTTTGTTGGTTTTGTTTTGCGGTTCTTCTATTCTACTATTAATTAGGCCACACCAATAGGATTTTCTGTTCTTCAGGGTCTTGATAATAAATAGCCACTTTAAATGAATAATTAAAAGCGTTGAACAGTACAACCGAGTACTTCTGGTTTTTAAATTAAGGTTTTTCCCAAAGAATTAATTTAACAGGTGTTCCCACAGAACATAAAATTAAATTGATGTGGCCTCACACAGTGAGGGCTTATTCATGTGGAACATTTTTTTGAAGATTTGATTATTTTTTTTCTGTTTCAGTCCAATGTGTCGATATTTGTAAACCGTTTGAACTCACTGGAAACTGTTGTACCATATGAATATAACTTGTAAGTGATATGTTGATTTAATTACTGATGCATTATGTAAGAGCTAAATCGGCCTATTGCAGGTCTATATTTTGACGTCAAATGTTATATTTATATAAATTATTATTTATTCAAAAGTCAAGCCTATAATCAATTCTCTAGAATATTGAATGGCAGAGATTTAAACAGATCGAAACACAATCATCCCATAATGATTTAATTTAAAAATGGTGAATTGAGGCAGATTCTCAATTAACAAGTACCAATGCTACAATAATAAACAATCTATACCACATCTTGTCAAAACTTCGCTCAGAATAAACTAAAGTAATTTGAATAAAATTTTCAATATATTCATTTTGCCTTATCTATTTTTGAACTATTATAGCAAGAATGACCAGCTCTTTCTCTAAATCTTACATAAGTTTGATTTGTTTTATTGAGTGGATGTCTGTCCACATGACTGAATTTGAATCCCAGGATGGTGTTTCTCAATGCCTGCCTGGAACCATGCTGGTACAGTGAGTAAGACACTGGCTTAATTACCTGGCAGTCCCACATTTGATCCAGGTGCCTTGGGATCTTCCAGCAAGGCTTCTCCTTGTTAGTGTTGCAGGACTGAGGGTCTGGCAAGCAACAGTGTCTAGTCATTTGGATGGGACAAAAAACTGGGGGCCCATGTACATATTAGAATGCGCATAAAAGACAATTGGAATGCCCTTCTTCATTGAACATTTCAATTCCTGCCTTCCACTTGCTAGAGGGTTATGCCTGTGCAGTAATTGAATCGCTCATTGGTTCTGAATTTGATAAGAAATAAACAGAAACGTGTAAACCTTGAGGAGTCAACTCAATTTCTTTTCTTAATATTATCCTATTTTTTTGGTTTTTTTTCAGATATGATTTTTGCTCATCTGGTAATGACAATTCACCAGTTGAAAATCTTGGGCAAGTCGTATTCGGTGAGAGAATTCGACCTTCACCATATAAAGTAAGTCAGATCGATATACCTCTAGAAAAGTAAATGTTCTATGTGTAAAGGGAGATAACTGATGTGGTAATGGAGGTAGTGAGATTGATGGGAAGGGACGAAACACCTGCTTGATAGAGTAAAATTATTAATAATTCATAGAATTGATTAAACATATTTACTGTGAATTATAATGTAAGAATTTCTTAATTTATTGGGGGTGGGGGGGGGGGGAGCTGTTGGCACTTTAAATGTATGTTTAAATACTTCTGATTTAAGATTTGAAGTTAATACACTGTGTTTATGTAATGAAACCTATTAATTGGTATCTTAAACTAGCGGCCAGTCAAAGTTTTAATTGTTTCTGATAACATATCTTTTTATTTGAAACGTATTGTCTGGTGGGGGGTGGATAAATGGTCTAATTTCTACATTTTTAATATATTTTTAACAATTTTCCCAGGTTGAATAGTGTACATGTTGTATGTTTTATTCATTGTATATTTTATTTTTTTATATTGCAGGCTACATTTAAACAGGATGAAAAATGTAAATCTGTTTGTCAGAAAATTTATAAGAAAGGAGATCAAACCAGTATTAAGAATTTGAAATTTTTAGCTCGGGGAATTAAACTGAATTACCAGCATCATTGGTAGGTGTACATATGTACATATATCAATTGCAAGCCAGGACGTAGAGCACCTGTCACAGACTTTTGTTCCTGGCTTGTACGTGACAAGTAGTAGGGTCACCTGCCCAACCTCGTGGGTTTTCTACAGGTGCTCTCTCTCTCTCTCTCTCTCTCTCTCTCTCTCTCTATATCAGACATTGTCAAGTCGAGGTTATCACAGAACGTATACATACAGGTGTGGACATAAGGCACCTGTCACAAACATTGTCAGACATAAGTTATCACACAAGGTACATATTATAATGCCCTCTCCTTGGGCATGTTACTGGGTGGTTCCTCAGAATTTTCCAGCTTTGTTTTTCCCTTTGTCATTAGTGCATGTAAAAGAACCCATGAAGAGTATGCAAAAATGATGTATTATTGAAATTAAACCATGTTAGTCCCAAAGTGATCTAGTTTGTGTCAAGTGGATCCCCAGAGTGATCTAGTTTTGTGTCAAGTAGGTCTTAAACCCCCATTTCTCTTTCCATGTGGGGTTGGTCGTAGTGTCTATATATTTGCTGAAGTTAATGAAATTACAGTGTGGCAAGTGATCATCTGATGTACTAAGTCACAATTGAAAACCAAAGTTAACTTATTTTACTTTTTTCATAAATATTTACAGTTTGCAATTCTCAGCTGAAAATATGACTTTAATAAATATTCCAGCTAAATACTTACGGTTTGCAATTCTCAGCTGAAAATATGACTTTAATAAATATTCCAGCTAAATACTTACGGTTTAAAATGCTCAGCTGAAAATATGACTTTAATATATATTGCAGCTAAATATTTGCAGTTTGAAATTCCCAGTTGAAAATATGATTTTAATAAATATTCCAGCTACATATTTACAGTTTGAAATTGTCTTTAATAAATATTCCAGCTAATTATTTGCAGTTTGAAATTCTCAGCTGAAAATATGATTTTAATGAATATGCCAGCTAAATATTTACGGTTTGAAATTCTCAGCTGAAAATATGACTAATTTTATATATATTCCAACTACATATTTGTAGTATATAGACTGTAAATCAATCTATTGTAGGATTATAGATAATATGCCTATAACTTGGTGTTACGCTGTGGAGTCCGGCGGTAATTTCTGTTCTACTGGATTCCCAGTTGGTTGCTATGTCAACAATAAAGGAAGAAGAAAGGAAGTTTGTCAGCTTGATGTAAGTAAAACATTATCATTGATCCGTTCTGATCAGGGCTGGTGCAATAATGGTGGTCTAATATTGTTACAGGAGCCACAGTGGCTCAGTGAGTAAGACATTGGTTCACTAACTTGGAGGTCCTGTGTTCGATCTCTGTGTTCACCACGCAGAAAATTCATCAGGATTTGCCAGCGTGTTTCCCCCTTGTTAGTGGTGCAGGGTAGAGCGAATGGCATTTAGTCGTTTGAATAGTATGAAAAACTGAGGTCCCATGTTCATATTGGCATGCATGTAAAAAACTTTTAACTTTTTCAGTTAAATATAAGAATAGGTCGTAGCGCCGCTGTCCGAGCAAAATTTCCCTCACTGTGGATTAAGCCAGTGAAAATTTGATGTTTTTCCGAAAAATGGTCAGTCAGAGACTTTAATGTAAACTTTTATAAATTGTAGCCACGTCTAACAGAGCCAGGAACACATTATCTATTTAACCATGTAGAGATTACTATAGAATACCACGCCAGTGACGGAGCTGAATGGGGTGATTCATACAAAAACGGTGGAAGAATCATCGGAGCTAAAATAACACCAAGAAGGTTAGTTCTTTAATATTTATTTTTATTTATAAGGGGTGGACTCTTAGAAAGAATGTCCCAGGTACTTGTATGAGCCAAAAAGAATCTCAATCCAGGGGGCCGGGGGTTGGAGGTTCAGAGGAATTTTAGAGGTTGGGTCTTGACTATTAGCTAGAATATCCCAATTCTCTTAAACTGAATGGTGCGATCGTTTTATATTAGTTTCAGATTTTCATAATATTATAAATGAATATTATTTTTGCTCCTATAAATCATGTTTATCAAGCAAATCCATGTCTTCATTAGCCCAGTCGGTGCGGAAAAGTAAGGCGGTTTAAAAAACCCATTTCATTTCTGTTATTCTGAAATCATGTCTTATCAAGTGTAGGGGGGTTGGGTTGCCAAATCATAAGATCTGTCATTGAGTCAAGTGATGTGGTCATCTAAAAATACCTCCCAAAATGTACAAAAAGTTTTATGAATCCTTTATTTTTTTTTTATGAAGTATAAATCACAAGGCATCTGGAAGTGGAGCCTGTGGCAATGATGTACCACCGCTTGGTTTTAAAGATGCTGACATTAAAGATGATTTAAAATTTAACTATACTTACTCCATTACGTGGCTGGTAAGTTATGATTTGTGTATAAGAAGTAATATGCCAGCTAGTTCCTAGGTTTCTGTATTCAATCAAATGGTTAGTCATTCGGATGGGACAAAAAACTGAAGTTGTGTGTACTTAAAAGAACTCTCATTAGAATTCAGTTTCTGTCGGGGGAAAATATACCTCATATTACTCACAGCACACTGGATGATGTATGTCTGTCTTCATTAACCATGTTAAACCCCTTTTCATTCATTCATTCATTCATTCATTCAAAAGATAGATAATGATGAGGGTATATAAGAGCAATTTTTAGAAATAATGTGCTTTGTGATCTTGTCTCTTGAAATCTTGGTTTAAATTTTATACAATCATTATTGGTTTATTTATTTCCAGGTAAATAATAATGTCAAATGGTCATCAAGATGGGATTATATTTTACAGTCTATGCCTAATACAAATATCCAGTGGTTTAGGTAAATTGATATATTATTTATTTACCAGTCTCTCCTCTTTGGTTTGTTAAGGGGTTGGGTGGTCTAGTGGTTTAAGATGTGCACATGAAATCACATGGTCTGTCATTGAGTCAAGTGGCATACTTTCGATTCCCTGCTTGAACATAACAAGGAGTAGGGTTGGCTTTCCAACCTCATGGGTTTTTTCAGGGTCCTTCGGTTTCCTTCATCAGCTAAAGATACCTATGCATAAGCGAATTATTGAAATATGTTGGTCCAGAAATTACATATTTTGAGTGAAGTGTGTATAACACTGTACAGCACAGTGTGGATGCTTACGACTAGTCTCCAGATCCCTTGGGGGGTCACGGTGACTAAGTGGGTAAAACGCTGGCTCGCTAGCCTGGAGTTCGGGTGTTCGATCCCTGCATTGGCCGAGAAAGTTCATCCAGATTTTGTCCTTGTCGGTGATGCAGGACGGTGGGCTGTCTAGTTGTTCAGATGGGACGGAAAACCAAGGTCCTGTGTACACATCGGCGTGCACGCAAAAGATCCCTTAACAGTTGGAATTTGATATAAGGGTAGGCTGTAGTGCCACTGTCCGGGCAAAATTTCTCTCATAGCACACTGTATGGCGTATGCTTGTCTTCATTAGCCCAGTTCGGAGCAGAACAGTAGGACGTTAAACCCCATTTCATTTCGAGATCCCTTACTCTATTGGATATATACTTTTGTTTGAAATGTCTGTGTTTATTGTGTGTCTTGTCCACAGATTTGTCTTGTGTAATATTTTATGTATGGTGTGGTTCATTTATTTATATAATTAAATGTCACATGTGCCATTCTCAGAAAAATATGCCAGTTAAGGACTTATTGACAAGTTGATTGACTTTCTAATGAGAGAATCATCTCTTTGTACTAATTGAGATGAAATTAGATTTCAGTATAATGTTTAAACATACATTATGCAAGAGCTAAATCTGTCTATTGCAGGTCTTTCTTTAGGCCTGAAATGTTTTCTAAAATATTAATTAGACATTAATTATCTTATCCATCCCATAATCAACGCTCGATGGCATCAGATTTCTCCAAAATTAAATAGATTAGAACAGTTCAGCCTTATTTTGATTTAAGCTAAAAATAGAGGAGCGAGACTTGCCTTCGAACAACTAATACGGTGGTTGAAATTATTGCACATGTCTTGTCAAACCTTCCAAGGCTAATGACTTCCCTCGCAGAGTAATTTGAATGAAATTTTGAAATTATTCATTTTACATTATCTATTTTTGAACTATTATAGCAAGAATGGTTAGCTCTTTATCTAAATCTTACATAATGTATCTTTAATAATATATTTCAGTATAATGAACTCCCTAGTTATTGTATTATTCCTGTCTGGTATGGTGGCCATGATTCTTTTACGAACTCTACATAAAGATATCGCTCGATACAACCAGATGGATAGCGCTGTAAGTTTATAACATCATTTTTATAACATTTGATTTAACATTAATCTTGGGAGCCGCAGTGGCTCAGTGAGTAAGACATTGGCTATTTAACCTGGAGGTCTCGTGTTCGATCCTTCTGTTGGCTGAGAAATTTCATCAGGTTTTTCTGGCATGGTTTTCCCCTTCCCAATGATGCAGGACACAGGACCTGGCAACGGACAACGTACAGAGAAACAATCAACATACATGTAATAATAAACTGAATACCAGGATTTTTAATTTTTACTTAATATCATGACTCTTTATTGTGTTTTATTTTTGTTCACAAAGGAGGATGCTCAGGAAGAATTTGGTTGGAAGTTGGTCCATGGAGATGTTTTCCGTGCTCCAAGAAAGGGCATGGTTCTATCCGTGCTAACGGGATCTGGAGTACAAATCTTCTTCATGGTTCTTATAACACTCTGTAAGTTGTCTATTGTATTATCTTTAAAATTTAGTAGGGTGCTTCAGTGATTCAGTGAGTAAGATGGCTCGCTAACCCGGAGATCCCATGTTCGATCCCAGTGGGAGGCCAAGAAAGTTCATGGGAATTTTCTGGTGTAGTGCCACCATGTCAGTGGTGTAGGACAGAAGGTCTGGCAGGTGATAATAAATAGTAGTTTGGATGGGGCATAAAACTGACATCCCGTGTACAGATATCCCAGTCGGAGCAGAAAAGTAGGATGTTAAACTCAATTTCATTTCATATTTTAAATGGAGTAGGGTGTGACATTGGCTTATTGAGTAGGGCGCTGTCTCACTAACTCTTGAGATACCATGTTAGGCGCTTGGTGTTTGCTGAGATAGATTTTCAAGATTTTCCAGCTTGTGTTCAATAAGTTAAAATAATTAATTGTGTGTTATATTTCAGTATTTGCTTGTTTGGGTTTCCTGTCACCAGCCAATAGAGGAGCTTTGATGACATGTTCATTGGTAAGTTAATTCCTGTTTTGCATCACATTAAAGGATTGGGGGAGGGGGCTGATTGGATGAATATGTTGTGTCAGTGAGTCAATTTTCATGCTTTCGACCCCAAGCTTGTGTGTTACAAGGAGAAAAGGTTTTCCCTGAGTCCTCCTGTTTCTTCCATCTGCTAAAAAAAAAACTCACACAAGAGAATTATTGAAATAACATTGACCATATAGTAGTTCCCAAAATGACTGGGCATTAAACAACATCTCTCTCTCTCTCTCTCTCTGTCTCTCTCTCTCACACACACATAGGATAAGTTTTTGTAAGATTTAATCTTAAAACCATGAAAAAAAAATTAATTAGAAATATTGTTTATTTCCTTTTGGTTGATACTAATTTTTCTCTAAAAAATAAAAGTTCTGTTTATATTTATTTACAGGTACTGTATGTATGTCTCGGAACACCAGCGGGATATGTCTCTGCTAGAATCTATAAAAGTAAGTTACTTCTAAAGTGTAACTCAAATATGTAAATTCCCTTGGTCTGTTAATCAAAATGAACCTTGGCCACTTTGAAGAGGTTTTTTGGTAGCATGTTACAAACTGTGTATCCAGATTTGCATGCATATTATACTAATACCCAAGACCATTTAAGTTTAGAATCATGTATTAATAATTTTTGGTATTTTTTTTTTTTTTGCAGTGTTTGGTGGTGAAAAATGGAAATCCAATGTTTTGTTGACAGCTTTCTTATGTCCTGGGTGAGTTGTTGACCTTCACAGAGTCTGGTTGTGGAGTAAAAATGGTTTAAAACATTGTCTTACAGATCTTGTGGGATCATGTTACTATCTAATCTTGCTGGTTATATTCGGTTCTCTGTCAAACCTCACTGGTTATATCTGATTCTCTCATCTTCTGCTAAGTCAGGATTGTGGTAGTTGAGTGGTGCTAGGTTCGAAGACCTGCGCTGAGCCTAGTCAAGGTTTGTGCCTGTGAGGCTGACATGGAAAGTGAGCCTAATCATTGGATAGACCAAAAATATATAGGACCATTGACAGTTTCAATCGAAGATGCCGATGTCCAGGCAAACTGAGTATTTCATGTATATTTAGTAATAATTTATATAGCACCGACAATTCAACTCTGCGAGCTGCTCTCGGGCGCTTTACATAAGTACAACTAGTATAAAATTACAACAATCACATTGATCCATAAAAAAGACATAAACAAAAAACAGAGAACATTATTTTGTACACATGGTAAAAGTCTGACATAAACACAGCTCTAGAACCTTATTAAATCAGTTGTATATTTGATTAAAACTCATTTCTTCTAAATCGTGATTTAGATCAGTTTCAAATTTAACACGGCCGATCAACTATATGTATGTTTATTATTTAATATTTTCAGAGTTATTTTTGGAATCTTCTTTGTATTGAATTTGTTGTTGTGGATAGAAAAAAGCAGTGCAGCCATTCCATTCTCCACTCTCATTGCCTTATTGGCTTTATGGTTTGGTATATCAGTACCCCTCACCTTTGTTGGAGCTTATTTTGGATTTAAGAAAAGAGTGAGTGACATTATGCTTGCCTTCTCGATTCATATTGCAAAACGTTCTTTAATCATCTGATTATCACAACACTCTCATATTATGAGACATGCCCGCCCAACCTAGTGTTTTTTTTCTGGGTCTCTCGGTTTCCTCTCAATGCTAAAGACCCCAACATATTGTGAGACATGCCCACCCAACCTAGTGGGTTTTCTCTGGGTCTCTTGGTTTCTTCCCACTGCTAAAGACCCCTACATGTACATGCAAGCGAATTATTGAAATAAAATCTTACCATAAGTTAGTCCCAAAATGACCTGGTTTGTGGCAAGTGGGCATTAATCCCCATTTCTCTGTAAGACGAACACAGGGTTATTTTTTATATTGTGACATATGCAGTACTAAGACGGTGTGATATAACTAAATTATGAAAATATAATAAAAATGTTTTTGAAAAAAAAACCCAGCCTTTTTTGCTTTGATCATAAATTTTATGCACCTGTGAAATAAACTGTCATGTTTTAATACAGTATTAATGAAGTTATTGATTGTTGTATCAGTTCTTTTATAATCTGGCTTCATTAGCCAAGTCGGTTTAAAAAAGTAGGATGTTAAAACCCTGTTTCATTTCTTTTATTTTACAGCCTATTGAACATCCTGTAAGAACCAATCAGATTCCACGACAGATACCTGACCAATCGTTTTACACAAAAGCCATCCCAGGAATTATAATGGGTGGTGTTTTACCGTTCGGTTGTATCTTCATTCAACTCTTCTTTATATTAAACAGTATATGGTGAGTCATGGTTTCCCAAATAAAACAAGAAGGGGAGTTGAGGTTGGGGGTGATTTGAAGCGTCCACTTTCATAAGCTCTCTCACTTAGTCAAGTGGCATCATTTCGATCTCATGGGTTTACTCTAGGTCCTCAGGTTTCCATCTGCTAGTTTGTATCAAGCCCATTTCTATCCCTCTCTGTCTCAATAATACAGTCATCTAAAATTCACATTACTTTGTGCAAGTGGGGTTTTTTTAATTGGTCACATTACAATAAACACACAACTTGATGGAATACAATCACTGAATTTAATAGGAGCAAAATTTCAGTTGTGAATTGGTCCGTATTGTGGTGGATTGCCACAGAATTCTGTTACAGGGCTGCTAGTATCGATAATACATGGGAGATGTAGTGGCTCTAGTAAGACTTTGGCTTGGTAACCTGTAGGACCTGTGTTCAACCCCAGTGATTTACCGATGTGGTTCCCCCTTGAAGGGGTGGAGGACAAAGGGCCTGCCAAGGGACAACATAATAGCCGTTCGGATGGTACGAAAAACTTGAGGTCCCGTGTACACATTGTGTGTATGTTAAAGAAACCTTTAGCAGTTGAATTTCAATATAAGAGTAGGCCATAAGCACCATTGTCTGTGCAAAATTCCCCCATTGCACAATGTCTGGCGTAAGCCCGCCTTCATTACCCCAGTTGGAGTAGGACTTTAAACCGCAGTCATTTACAGATGTTTAGTGATTAGAAATGAAATGAAATGAAATAAGGTTTAACATCCTACTGTTTAGCTCAGAACTGGGCTAATGAACACCGGCATACGCCATACAGTGTTTGAGGGAAATTTTGCCTGGACAGCGGCACTATGGTCAACTCTTATATCAAATTCCAACTGTCAAGGGATCTTTTACATGCACACCAGTGTGTACACAGGACCTCGGTTTTTCGTCTCATCCGAATGACTAGATAGCTGTCCTTGTCAGGCCCTCCGTCCTGCATCACTGATAAGGGGGAACCACACTGGAAAATCTGGGTGAACTTTCTCGGCCAATGCACGGATCGAACACCCAAGCTCCAGGCTAGCGAGCTAACGTCTTACCCACTTAGCCACCGTGACCCCGTTTAGTGATTAGAATCAAGGTGTAAATCAGACATTTCAGTTATAACTATATATGTCATCCACTGATAAAACGTGTGTAATATAACTGATTATAATATTTCATGGTTTTTATTTTCAGGTCCCATCAGACATATTATATGTTTGGTTTTCTTCTCTTAGTTTTTCTTATTTTAATTGTTACATGTTCTGAGGCCACCATTTTACTTTGTTACTTTCATCTGTGTGCTGAGGTTAGTAGAACGTTATTTAAACTCGTATAAACCATTTGGGGACTGATATTCCTTTTAGAAATTCATCTTTCACAATATTCTAGTGTATAAAACATCCCTTAAATGATGATCAAAGACTTTTACATGAAAAGCTAAAAGTCAATGATATTAAACTCTATCAGGGAGTGCAGTAATGATTACTACCCGAAACAATGCAGTATTAAATACTAACCAGGACAGTGCAGTGTTAACTACTACCTGGGACAGTAGAGTACTAGCTACTACCTGGGGACAGTGCAGTATTAACTACTTCCCGGGGCATTGCAGTATTAACTACTGCCTGGGACAATGCAGTATTAACTACTGCCCGGTACAGTGCAGTACTAACACTACCTGGGACAGTGCAGTACTAACTACTACCCAAGACTTGTGTAATACTAACTACTGCCCGTAACAGTGCAGTGCTAACTACTACCCGTAACAGTGCAGTGCTAACTACTACCTGTAACAGTGCAGTGCTAACTACTTCCCGGGATAGTGCAGTACTAACTACTACCCGTAACAGTGCACTCACTGCTAACTACTACCCGGGACAGTGTAGTATTAAATATCTACCCATCAAAAACACAGATTATACAAAATGTGAAAGTGGGTGGCAAAGCAACCTATGATAGTACTCGGGCCTTTTGCTATTCAGAAATTTTACGGATTTAACAATTGTTGTATTGTCATGGAAATAAATTTGGCTTGATTTTTGATACACAAAGGCTTAGGATGTTGATAACTTGGCCTTCTTGTTTTACAATAGTAATATTTTTTGATATTTTACAGGACTATCATTGGTGGTGGAGATCGTATTTAACCAGTGGTTTTACAACCGTCTATTTCTTCATCTATTGTATTCATTTCTTCGTATCGAAATTAGAGATGTCAGGGGCTGCAAGTACATTCCTGTATTTTGGTTATACAGCTATAATAGTTATTCTCTTCTTCTTACTCACTGGTAAGTTCTATATACAGTGGAAGGGGTGGATGGGCATTCAATCATAAGGTCTGTCATTGAGTCAAACTGGCGTGGTTTCGATTCCCCTGGTTTTACGTGACAAGGAGTAGGGACGCCTGTCCAACCTTGTGGGTTTTATCCGGGTCCTCTGGTTTCCTCCCACTGCTAAAGACCCCTATGCGCAAGCGAATTATTGAAATAGAATCGAACCATATGTTGATCTGAAATGACCTAGTTTGTGTCGTGTGGACTTTAAAATCGTATTTCTATCTCTATATGATATGCAGTGTTTTACTGACCTTCAATGGTTTACGAAGGGAGTGGTTAAGTGATCTTAATGCCTGCGCTTTGTATCATAAGTGGCATGGTTTGGATCCAAAGCTTGTATGTGACAAGGATTATGGTTGTCTGTCCAATCTTATGGGTTTTCCCCAGGTCCACCGGTTTTCTTCCTCTACTAAAAAAACCCTAAACGCAAGTGAATTATTGAAATAAAAATTAAACAATATTTAAATCCAGAAATGAGCTAGTTTTTGTTACGGGGACATTTAACCCCATTTCCCGATTTCTCCCTCACTTTTTTGTGCCTCAGAATATAATAATGCAATTTGTATTTTTCAGGTACAATGGGATTTTTCTCGTGTTTCTGGTTTGTGAGTAAAATATACAGTGTTGTTAAAGTGGACTAACTGGTTAATAAAGTCTATATAACAGAGGGAAATAATGGCAAGTCTGCTGTGAAACAGAAGGGAAGCCACAAATAATGAAGGGTTTATATCAAGTTTATTTTTTGTTATGAGTTAATTATATCGGATCTGTAGCATCCACATGCACGACACATGATGTGATTGTTAGTTTCTTTCATTGATATTTATTTTAACAATTAAATATTTGTTACACAATTGGACAAATTCAAAGAATTGTCAGTGTTAAAAAAAAAAAACTCAATAAATGTGTCAAACAATTAGATATACATTGTATTGTTCAGTCTGTGAGAAATATATTTTCACATGATAGAACAATTTATGTTTTCTAGCGCTGAAGAAAGTCAATAACTGCAACAAATAATCACATAGTGTGTGATTTGTGTAAAAAAACATTACATTTAAGGGGAGGCACTGCTCGACAAATATGAATTTTAAAATAACTGGCTTCTAATAATGCTATCAACTTGAAATTTTCAGGAATTGTTCACATCGACAAAATAGGCTAATCGGCAGTTTTGGGGGAATCTGCTTTACTGGTTACCATGGAAACAAAAAAAAATCATTTTTACTGCTTAAAAAAAATCGTTCTCTGAAAGTATCAAAGGTAGAAGCCTGGAACTTTTTTTAAAATGTTCCTACGACATTTCTCTGTGCAATTATCAATATAGTGTTGTTATTGTGTCCTTACATGTCATTCTATGTCAACAAAACAAAAATTATGAAAAATGTTGTTTTCAATGAGAGATTTCAGATGCCAATTTACTACACTAAAAATTCATTTAGAGTACTGAAAATCCTTATTTGCATGGAACTAACATTACTTAAGTATGTGTGTAAGTTTCAGACATATCTGTTGTAAACTTTTCAAGAACGATTTTTTGTAAGGTTGTCGACTGTTGATATTTTACTTTTTGAGAAATTAAGACATAAAGAGGTAAAACAGCAAAATTTGAATTGCAAGAGTGTTCAAAAGTGCATTTTTTCTATCATAAACCACTTTATATGTATTTTCTTTAATTACAAGTGAATTAAAAATGAATGAACATCACAAATATGCAAATATAAAAAATCGATAATTTGAGTCAAAATTGACATTTGTCGACCCTTGCCTCCCCTTAACGAAAACTGTATTTAGACAGAGATTTTACTATTCTCTAGTTGATAAAACTTGGCACATATCATGTCACTAATGATTATTATTGGCAATAAACAATTAAAAATATATTGTATGTAATTATTAGAATGCACTGTAACTTATATGTAGTTATTATAATACGCTGTGAGTTATAATACATTATATGAAGGTGTTATAAATGCGCTATGAGTTATATTAAATTATGTAATTATTAGAATGTACTGTGAGTTGTAATAAGTTATATGTAGCTATTATAATGCACTGCGAGTTATAATGAATTACATAGTTATAGTTATTATAACTGTCACCAAATAACAATGAATGCCATGCTTAAGTGACCAAGTCCAACTAGAGAATATTAACCCTTTGAACCCAGAGCTCTGTTACTTCTTGGCCATCTCTTGTTTGGGAAGGGTGTCACATCTCCATCATTTAAACATTAATTGTATAATCACCAATTTTCTTGCCAGATGTAAAGAGCTTTGTGGTCAGTGGGTTGGTGTTCAAAGGGTTAATCTACCTGTGGATAACCTGTAGTGTAGCTGAATAGATTTCACAATGAGGGGAAAGATTATTAGAATATATTGTTTATATGAGTTGTTAACATTGTATATATTTTTATTTAATTGTTGTTTATGTTGAATTGACCTCTTTCTCATTGCCTTTCGATGTCTGTCAGTCGCCTTATACATACTAGATCTAGAGGAAACTGTGAGATTTTTATAATTGACCTATGATAGCAAAATGATTCAGAAGTCCCTACTCTTTTACCACATGAATAAAAATGTTAAAATAGGTTAAAATCTAAACTTTTTAATATTATAACACGAAAGGTAAAACTATAGATATGATATATGAAACAAATTCAACATTTTATATTTTAGCCTTTTTCGACATTTTTATTCATATACCGTAAAAAAAAAAAAGAAATGACTCGAGACTTTTATTGCTGGCACGGGTTACTTATTATAAGTAGATCTCCTTAAAGTGAGCAGAATGTTGTGGCTTGTTTGGCTTAAAATATTTACAGGACAAACCAAGCAACTGGGGACATCTCAGAACAGTGAAGGTTTGAAGCATAGGTCAAACCTGTTGATGATTAATGTAGATGTGTATATGTAGATATATAAATTTGAACTGCTTGTTTCTATCACCCTGAAAACTTCACATGTTTGATGTAATTTTGCCTGAACTGTCAAGGGTTCATTTGACTGCACAGTTTTTGTTTAGCATAAGATCTGTGTTGTGTATTTGATCCAACTCTTATCATATGTAACAAAAAGTCTGGCCATGTGTAGCAATTAACTAGGCCTGTAATAAAGAGAACAAGGCCGATAACATGAAGTTTGTGGAATTGTTGAAAAATAGGAATTATTCAAACCACATATTCTATTATACCCTTCTTGATTAGCCCAGTCAGTGCAGAAATGTAGGATATTTAAAACCATTTTATTTATATTATAGAAGACAACTATATCCATATATACATGTATGTTCCATATCACTCTACTTTTAATCTCTAAATTATAACATACTTATGCAACAACAGCTGCTGATTTATTTGGGCGAGGTTTTGGAGAGTATATAACATTAATAGAATAGGCTTCGAAACATAGTCCAGATAAATTAGTAGCTGTGTATTGCACTTTTCAGTTACTAAATGCCTCTAAAAAAAATTTAAAAGCCAAGTTGGTTCCTTTATGATTAATTATATATGTTTATAGATACAACTACTTACTCTGTCAGTGTATATACAAATTAGAATTTTGCTACTTTGTTGATACTTTTCACAATTTATCTATTATAAATATATATGTTATTTTTATTAAGCTTATTAGTTGATTGATATATGAGAAAATGTTAGGTAATATAATATAAATTATTCAGTATTTATTGTGTTTGGAAGAAAAAAGATTTGAAAACGAACTGAAGTGTAAAATTCTGTTTAAAAAAAACTGAAAGAAAAGCTGTTTATTTCATGCTTTCTTAAACCTAGTGTGCCTTACACCAGACATTTTCAGTTTTATTTACTGTTCTGTAGTAAAATTCAATGACTTTTACGCAAATTCGATTTCTCTCTTTCTCAATTGCTTTTGTTTCCCTAAAAATGAAAAATAAACGAAGATTTCTTCTTTAGATTTGTTTGAATCAAAGATGATTTATCTACTTAACCATGAGATAAAAGCTAAACTAAATGTCAGTTTACTCGATCTCTGTAATAATTAAATAAGTTTTATATGAAACTGATTCTTTTACTCGATCTCTGTAATAATTAATCAAGTTTTATATGAAACTGATTCTAATTCCTGTCTACTGTGTAAGCTAGGGAGAGGTCTTTAATACAGGTTATACCATGCCTGTTCCCCAATCTCTATGTAGATAAAAATCTGAATAAAAAATATTGTTTATAAATAAATAAAAAAAGACTGTAAGCTATGCAATGTAAAAACATTTTCCTTATCTTTTCTACGAAAAATAATTTTTATAACGGCATCTGTTTCGCTTTCTGAAATTTCTTCTGTATTTATTGAATGGAGAGCCATATTACCCCCCCCCTCCCCACTTTAATGTTTATTATACTAGCTAGTTTGTGTGTCTATACTTTAGCTTTAATAACATTTATGACATACGTTATCTTCTCCACAAATTATTCTGTTTGTTCGTTTTTACAATAGTTATTGTTAGGATCCTTCGCAATATTTCAACACTTACGTTCAAACCCAGCCACCTGCTCATCTGCATTGACAGAGTAAGAAAATGTTGAAATAGCTGAAATTTTAATTTATCACTTTCTCTCGTTTAACCCACCCACTCGGTTATACAGGTTATTCGTTAGTGGGGTGTGGTTGGTTGGCCGAACAGTTAACACATGCGCGTTGCATCATAAAATCTGTCATCGATTCATGTGGCGTGCTTTCGATTCCCTGTTCCTATGTGAGGAGCTGTAGGGTCACCTGTCCAACCTCGTGGGTTTTCTCTGGATCCTCCAACTAATAAAGACCCCAACATGCAAGTGAATTATTGAAATAAAATTTAACTATATGTTAGTCCCGAAATGAGCTAGTTTGTGGTGAATGGACATTAAACCCCATTTCTCTCTGTCTCTATTTGTTAGGATGCAAGTGTTGAATTTTGTGACGGTCTCTTATTGTATGTGACTAATACAGTGACTGACTTGGCTGACTTTCAGGTGATCTAACAGAATTGAAAGAAAACTGGATTGGTGGCTAACACTGTCAATGTATAAACGTATGCTGGTGTTTTACGACATGTGACTAATATCTTGACAGCATTGGCCGAATCAACAGAATGACAATATTACAAAAGGATTGGCGGCTAACGCTGTCAATGTATAAATGTAAGTTAGTGTATTACCACATGTCATGTGGATAATACCTTGACGGCATTGACCGACTTTCAGGTGATGTAACAGCTATTAGAAAATGATTGGAGGCTTACACTGATGTTGATGTGTTTGTATATAGTATTATTTTTTTATGGTTATGTTATTTCCGTTACGAGGGATCATTATTGAATCATTTATCATAAAATTTGCATAATCCTCTTCAAATATATGAATATATATAGAATGACTGACATCTAACATAGCTTATTTATTATTATACTTTTATTGTTAAAAATCAGATTCGTACGTGGTTGTTGTGACTAACACTAAAGACATTTGATATAACGTTATATTATTGACGTACACCAACAACAGTGTTATATTGAAGCCTCTGTATATAATTCATACTTCATTGTCGTGACTATAATCTGATCTAAAATGTGTTTGATACTAGCCAGCTATATGGTGGGCTATCTTGATGTATACCAACAACAGTCTTATAGTGAAGCCCTTGTATATTAATCATATATCGGCACACGGCAGGTTCTCTCTGTAAAGCTCCCATAATGCCTTTTAAAGCTTAGTGACAGTAGATAGGCCAATAACAACCAATTAAAGTTGCAGGTACAAATGTCTTTTACTGTCTAACCCTAACCAACTCCACCCACGACTGGATTTACTTATAGGCTTGATAGACTGAAGCCCAGTGATTTTCTTACACAAGCTGTAGTATTAAACACCCATAATCATACTCGGCTTTGCCTAGTTGTTTGATTTGGGAGCAGCCTCTCTTCAACTAAATCCTGCATTGCCCCCACCGATCGGTGGCTCATCGGAGAGATCACTGATTGGTGGCTCATCTGAGAGATCATCACTGATTGGTGGCTTATCTGAGAGATCATCACTGATTGGTGTGCTCATCTGAGAGAAAATCACTGATTGGTGTGCTCATCTGAGAGATCATCACTGAATGGTGGCTCTTGTGAGAGATCATCACTAATTGTTGGATCATCTGATATGATGGTTTACTAATAATGCTCAAAAATAGAACAAATTATAAATTTAACAAATTGTTTCAGGGTATTTACCAATATTCTCTTATAATGTAAGTTCTGGGATTCAGAATAAATGAAAAGACACGATTGTGGTAGTTGGTTGATTATTGACTGAAAATAGAAATAAATATTGTTTAGAAAGATCAGGTTTAGCCTTTAACACTTGGTCCAGGTATATATTGACCAACCCAGATCCTTGAAGAAAATTAGAGCAAATTGATATATTTATACCAGAACATCCATGGACAAGACCAAAACAATCTGAAATGGCTGTTCCTTAGACTGACTCAAACGGCCGGAGATCTGTAAATAACTTTCCTTATTATAGAACCATTTACCAGTTCATGAGGGGTGGTCTAAGGAGCCCTGTTTAAGGTGGTTTCGGGAGGTCTTAATCCTTACACCTTAAAGAAAAACTGATGGTGTTCTTAAAATTAATTAACATTCAACGATTTTAAGATCCTTGTGTTGCAGAATATGTATTAAGATAGCACTGTGTATTGAAATTTGGAATATTTCATCTGCTGTACGTGTGTCATATATATTATAATTTAAAACACAAGGGGAGATAATTGAAAAGTGCTATATATATTAAAACATGACATCATACTTATTTAACATTGTGTATTTAATGTTGCTTCATAACATTTCAAGCAGTTTATTATTAATTGTATTATTATTACCTGTGGTGTGATTGTTCCGATTATGATATTTTTTATGTACATTTGGGAAATAAAATAAATCACGGCTTTTATCAGTGTTCTGTAGCTTTAATCTTCTGGGGAAGAAATGAAATGGGGTTTAACGTCCTACTGTTCTGCTCCAACAGGGCTAATGGTGATAGGCATATGCCATGCAGTATGCTGTGAGCGGAATTTTCCCCGCACAGTGGCGCTACAGTCTACTATTATTGAATTCCAACTGCCAAGGGATCTTTTACGTGCATGCCATTGTCTACACAGGACCTTGTTTTCTTTTTTGTGACATCCAAATGACAATACAGCTGTCCTTATCAAGCCTTCCATCCTACACCACTGACAAGGGGAAACCACGCCAGAAAATCCGGATGAACTGTTTCGAGCAAACCCAGGTTGAAGCAAATACTTTGATTGGACTAGCAGCTTATCATTTAGTTGGAGTATACTAATTTTACTAGTGAGCTTTACTCAAATAGCTTATTAATGTATCTGTCTTGGGCAAGGTTTTCCTAGTCCCTGTGGCTCTGCAAGACACTGGCGGGCTAGTCTTGAGGTCTGATTCACTCCCAATACTGGCTGAAACATTTTCCCAATGACATTCTGGCATTTATTCCCCTTGTCAGTTGTGCAGAACTGAGGTCCTGTGAACACATTGAAATGCACGCAATTCGATACAAGTGTAGACTGCAGTGCCAACCCTCATAGCACACTGCATGGCGTATGTCTGTCTTCATTAGCCCAGTCAGTGCAGAACGTTACAATGTTAAACCCCCATTTCATTTCTTTATAAGGCCTATTTAGTTTAGGGGGGGTTGGATGGCCGAATGGTTAGCACGCACGTGCTGTATCATACGGTCTGTCATTGAGTCAACTGGCGGGGGTTTCAACAGGGTTCCTGCGGTCCTTGAAAATCCTTGAATATCCTTAAATTTAAAATTTCATTTTCAAGGTCTTGAATATCCTTGAATTTCGCGGAAATAGGAAAATATCCTTGAATTTCAGTTGAGATCCTTAATTTTGTTTCAAATTGGTAATAATAGTAAGTTGATATGAAAATCCCGTTTAGATTAAAAGTTTTATAACGATAGTTGGTAATGTTTTGGTTATTTTTAAGATGAAAAATTGTAACTTTAGGCTAAAAAATGTCCTTGAAAATCCTTAAATTTAACGTATATTTATCCTTGAAAAAATGTTTGACGAAGCCGCGAGAACCCTGTTCAATTCCCCGGTTGTAAGTGACAAGGAGTAGGGTCGCCTGTCCAACCTCGTGGGTTTTCTCTGGGTCCTCCGGTTTCCTTCCTCTGCTAAAGACCCCTACGCACAAGCGAATTATTGAAATAAAAAAATTAAACCATATGTTAGTCCCAAAATGACCTAGTTTGTGTAGAGTGAACGTTAAACCCCATTTCTCTCTCTCTCTCTCTCTCCCTATTTAGTTTTATTTCATGTCTTCTATCATGAAGAGTTGTATTCTCGATCAACAAATCATTGGCATGCTCTTAGGGGTCTATAGCACTGGGAGTAAATCTGAGGACTGGGAAAAAACACACATTAGGCATGTGACCCTACTCCTTGTCATGTAAAAGCTTAGTATCGAAACCACATTAGGACAGACCTTTTGATCTAAATTGGATACATCAGACCACTTGACCCCCTTCCCCTTGAAGACCCTGAGAAAACCCTTCAGGTTAGATATGCGACCCTACACTTCTTCACGTACAAGATTAAGATCAAACCCACACCATTCTACTCAAGAACATCTTCAACAGATGGCTTGATCTAGCTTTAACTCTGTACATCTTATCAAGCCCTTCACGTACTATCCTGCCTATTTCGGCACTAATTTTGATTGGGTACTAACCCAGCTTGAGAGCCTATCAGATTCCTTAATCATCGCGAATACCACTTTTCACGCTTTCCAGCTAAAATGTCTACCTGTGATAATTGAGTTGCAAAGTTCAAGGTTCGTTCAATGTCAAGGTTTCCGTGGAGGGTCGAAATATTTGATTTGAGTGTTTTAGTGTCACAACTTCTGATTGTTGGCTACTGTTCACGTGTCTGAGAAAACGTAACTATAAGTTCGGTAATTGCAAAGTAATCTAGAAACATCCAGATGTTGTAAAACTTGCAGTCATTGCTTCAGGAACATGACTCAAGGACAGACTTTATGATCTGTTTATAAAAAAAAAACGACACCAAAAAAAAATACTTAACTATGAGATATGTACAGTTTATTATAATATCTGAAACAATTGGTGCTTTATTGTAAGATGTTGTAAATAAAACTAATAGAGTTTGAACATCATCAACAACTGTTGGGTAATTGTAAGATATAGAAAATAAAACTAATACAGAAACAACATCTTCAACAGGATATTGATATTCTTCAACAGGTAGAATTCTTTAAACCTTTAGCACTTAGACCGGCCCAAACTGACCTATCACATGCATGTCTATGGCGCATGAATGAACCATTCTGCCCACAGAGATCCATCTGCTTTATACTTTGTGAAGAAATTTCTATCCTGAATTGACACCATATCGAAAAGTTAGTATATTGTTTTGTAATGGGGTTCTACTCCGTTTCACAACTGGCATGCACACAAAGTCTAAATAAACCTATTCAATTCTTCTCAAAATTCTCAAAGTATACATAACTTGGTGCTTTACCACTTAGGACTTATAATGTTGGTCAACTAGCTTAGTGTCTGTTCTCAAGATAAGCTAACTGTAGACAGGCAGCCCAAGTTTAGTATGATGCACAAACTAATAAATGGTCATATAATAAGGAAAGCCAGTCACATCTCTTGGGTGGGCGGTTTAAGGAACAAGCAGTATCAATCTGTTCAAGGATGTACCGGTATTAATATATAATATATCACATTTATTAATTTTCATCAAGGAAATGGGGTCCTCGATTTTCACATGTACCAAGTGCTAAAGGGTTAATAGAAGGGAGAAATTCGAATGATAGATTATCTGTCCACCTTACCTGTACTCGAACCAGGTCTGGAAATAAGGATCTTAGTTGTACCTGACAAAATGACAGGTAACAGAGGGATTGTGCCTGACAAAACCTGCATGGGTGTCTGACAATGTCTGTGACAGGTGTCTTATTTCCAGACTTTATCCTAACCTATGTTCAAGACACATGAAATACAGTTAACACAAGGGGTGGACAGATTCACATATCTAGCTAAATAATGAATTGATTTAAAATGCCAAGAATGATATATACTGGTAGGGCATGTGATGTATGGTTGAGACAGAGAGCTAGATATTAAGTAATATATTGAATGGTGAAGACGTACCTGCTGAAGACCATCAACTTAAAATACAGACGCATGTTTTTCAATGAAATCGTCACGCGAGTCCAATATTTCATCTATTATAAATAATGTACATTTGGCATATTGCCTAGCTGTACCATTATTTGAAATAATGGTATGGCAACATCAAATGATGATGTTAGTTCTGTATTTTAATCAGTGATATAATCTCCAGAAGAAAGACACAGAAGAGATTGAGACTCTTCAGTGGTGAAATGAGCATGCATTAATAAATAATTGCACAATTACAGGTGTAAAAGCTTGACTACAACTACATACGAAAATTAGTTCCTTTCAAAATGGTCTCTGAACGGACAAAGTCCTCTGTGACTGCTTTTATATGTCCTTATTATCCTTCATTATGAAATTAATGACAATACGGCCCTACCCCACATCTGTTCTAACGGAATTTTGAAGTAGGGGCTATGTGAGAGGGATGCAATGACGAGCTTTGCATTATGGTTTTGAGTTTTTGCGCCCCCTCGCAAATGGCAAAAATCATGCGGTTTCAATGCAGTTTTCTACATCATAATTATAATGCTCAACCAGTGTCAAACATATACCGTGGGTCAGATATGCTACAAATCGACTCTAGCATGTCCCGCACAGCTCATTATTACTTGGTGGCACTGGGAGGGACCCCTTCTCCGTTCCCCCCTCCTGGCCAGGATCTTGTTCTGAATGCAAAATCATGGGTCACCACGCCGCTGTTTTGGAGTCTTTACTTTTTATTTTTCATCGTAATTCTTCTTTGTTTGCCAAAAGGAATCATTTCTCGGCACATTTCTCCAACACTATATTCAAGTCGAATTATGATGAAAAATAAAATATATGGACTCCAATAAAACCTTAGAATAGTGGTGGGGTGCAGCCGTAATATCATATTGCAGCTTATAAGGACAGACAGGAACAGTCAAAAGAACCTGTACGTTCAGAGACCATTCTGAAAGGAACTAGTACAAAATATACTATGATCACGTCATGTAGTATTATAAAATCAGCATATACTGGACAAAACAGAAGTAATTTCTATACAAAAACAATCACAAAATGACAACCAAAGCTATCACTTACAAATGATGATGCATAATAAATAGCACTAATAAATGTTGATAAACAAAATGATACACAAAGCTAGTCAGCCTACTTATATACCTGATGATGAGTTATGTAAGTACTAACTGGTGTTGTGAATGAGGCAGCATATGCTTACCATTTCTACAACATTTGATACCATCTCTCATGTTTCCTATGGTATTTATAAAGTAACAATCATGCCAAATAGATGAGAGAAAGTTTACTTTAACGTTAATATCTTGTGAATACATAATTCAAAACTTATTAATTAGAATATAAAAACAAATAGTCTCATTCAACTTATAAACTCAGAATAACTGGATAAAACATACTACAAAATTATTAAGTCTGGCCCAAAATACACAGTTTCCCTTTGCAAAAGTAAGACCATCTTCAATAGAAGGCTTCATCTCATTTTAACTCTCTGTGCGTGCATCCTATTAAGCCCTTTACATAATACACCACATATTTCGGCAATAATTTCGTATGAGTAGGCTACTAACTTAGCTTGAGAGCCTATCAGATACTTTGATTATCGCAAATACTAAGTCTTGCACTTTCTAGCTAAAATGTCTAGCTTTGATAATCGGGTTGCAACTTTCAAGGTTCATACAATGTCAAGGTTTCCCTGGAGGTCACCATGTTTGATTTGAGTGTGTTTGTGTCAGAAACTCTGATTGAAGGCTACTGTTCACGTGTCTGCCATAAAGATATATAATGTAGCTATAAGTTTGGGCATTGCAAAGCAGTGTAGCAACATCAAGTCACGGTCGTTGCTTCATGAAAATGGAGTAAGATAGAAATGGGGTTTATATAGTCCATTCGATACAAACTAGGTCATTTTGGGACCAATATATGGTACCAATTTTTATAAATAATTTGCTTGCACAAAAGGGTCTTTAATACTGGGAGGAAACCAGAAGTACTGGCTGGAGAAAACCTAGAGGTTGGACAGACGACCCTACTCCTTGTCATGTACAAGTCTGGGGTTGAAACCATGCCAGTTGACGCAATGACAGACCTTATGATCTAAAACGCATGCATTAACCCACTCAGCCCCCCTGTCTTGATCAGTTATTCTGAGTATGGTAGAATGAGACTAAAAATGAAATCTAATTAACTCTCACAAGATATAGTTTACATTCTTCACAAAACAACAAAAAGATGAACAAAATCAATAACAATAAATACACAAATATATGTTTTAATAAATTATAATAATTTAAATGAGCATTGAAATAGAAGAGGGAAAAGTTAAAACAAAAATGACCTTAAAAGTAGCAGCATTGTTTTTGCATGTAATTAAAACATACACTATGGCTAACTTATTGAATTTTATAAACTTCCAATACGACCTAAAAGGTGGAAAGAAGTCTACCAACCATCTGATACTTGACTCAATGACAGACCTTATGATCTAAGGCACACATGATAAACCATTCGGCCACCCAACCTATCTTATGGTTATAGAACCGTCTCCTTTGCATTTCCTGTATGATTACTGGTGTCATTGAAACAACTTTCTACGTTATTCAAATAAATAACTGAAACCAAATAAGGTCATACAAATAATGAAAACATAGCTTAGGAAATATGAAAACACAATTTACGTGGTTAGTACATAAGTGGCAATTAAAAAGTGCCATTTGATAAACTATTAAGAAAACATTTGCATAAAATGAAATTATCGTGATTTTGCCTATAAATAATAAGTCGTGATATAGCAGTGTACAATAATATATAATATGTGTTCCATGTTCGTTAGTCATATATATTTATAAAAATCACACATTCACCCTCAATTAATTCTTTCTAAATCTATTTCTATTTTTACTAACAAAAGAGGAAATCCACTCAATAATTCACAGTTTTAACAAATTCTCAAGACTGCGGCTACCTGCCTGATTTTAATTGTTTCTTCTTGGCAGACGTGTCGCTAATTTCAGGACACGTGATGTGTAACGAAATACGAAAGTTTCTTCCAATCTCAAAAATCTGTAAATACGATTATTTTGAAATATTTCCTCTTTTTTGGCTAACGTTCTTTCAAACCACAAATTCTTCGTTGATATAAATCACAACTCTTGAAGTTTATAAAAAATTTGAACAAATTCAGCTACTGTTTGGGCATGCATCAAATATTTCCCACAGTACAAAGAAAAGTGCTGGGAAAACGAACAGTGGCGTGCAGAGGTATAGGTATGCCCGCTCCCTGCATGCCATTGAAATAAGAAGCCATATCATCCACATATTTTAGACATGATATTAAAGGTGGATATACAATATGAAAAAAAAGTAAAGACGAAGAAATCCACGTTAATTCATACAACAGATCATCGCACCGCAAAAATCAACATAAAAGAAAATACAGAACAGGGACTGTAAATTATAATATAAAGGCGACATTCGTACCGGTCAACAATGGAGCCATCCCTTATCTACAATCCCTAAGTTTATCAAGTCCTATTTACAATCCCCTGGCATCAAGCCCTATCTACACTCCCCAGGTTTATCTACAATCCCCAGGCTTATTAACCTTTATCTACACTCCTCAGGCTTATCAAGTCCTATCTACACTCCCCATGTTTAACAATCCCTATCTACATGTACACTCCCCAGGCTTATCAAGCCCTATTTACACTTCCCAGGCTTACCACACAATCTTGCATAAAAATATCACAAGTAGTATTTACCAATCGCAATCTACAAAAAGAAAAAAACATCCAGTCAATAGATACTTGCAGGAAAGATATTCGTTATTCCATATTTATAAATATTCACTTTTTACTCTTGACGTTTTCATAGTTCAGTGCTACAAGATGGAAGCCTACTTTCAATATCACAATTTTAACGATCTAAATATCAGCTGACACCCAACCATCGATGTTAATGGCTATATGCCGGACACGTCCTATGCAAGTTGCCAAACACCCGACCGGGAATATGCCCAATCATACATCAAGATCTAGTGAATCATATTCAGAATTCCAAAAGTACCCAACACACATCTGGTGTTTGTTAATTGTCCAGATAGCTGGTAACAATCTCATCTTCAGCAGACGGTCACAGGTCATAGTTCACAGGTGACAGTTCATATCTTCATCAAAGTTTTAAAATCATTTTGAAAGTTTTTATATCCAACCAATCGAAAAGTTAAATTCTGCTGGGTGTCTTGTGAACGTCTGATATGCCAACTACAGGAAGTCAGTGGATTTGTGATTCGAGATATCCACGATACTAATTCACTAAATGTTTTCTGATAATATTCCAGCTTGTTTGCATTTGTTTCCTGAATGCTAACAATCCTCAAATTTCAGAGATCAACTTTTGGGCAAATCAACAGTTGGGTGAAATGTTGCTTTTATTTCCATTACTACCAATTTGAAATCAAATCGACGTCAGAAAGATGTCCCAACCTTATCTACAAAGGTATTGGTTAAATTCTCTTTTTGTGATTTATTCAACATGTCCCACCATGTATGTACGCCGAGGTGTAAAGTATTATATACTTGTTTAGATATTGTATAGAGTTTTTACTGTACGGATGAGTTTAAACTCGGCTGTACACATGTATTTAATGTAGAGGTCCACACCACTGTACACACGTATCTGATATAGAGGTTTCAAGTATTATATACTTATTTATATATTGTATCAAGTTCTGCTCCACTGTACGTATGTATTTGATATAGAGGACCACAGCATTGTACATCACATGTAACGGATACATAGTAGTATGCCACGTGTCATCTGATATGATCCACCAATCAACACAAATTGTTTTTAACTGAAACAAAAACATCCATTTTTTTTCATATTTTACGTTAATCTTTACACAGCAATGTTATAATGGCGTTACTTTTAGAATGTTTGTACATTTGCGGCCATTGAAAGCAATATTGCATTGTAATATGTTAACTGATTGTGTCATTTTCAAAGACCATTTTCTTCTGACCAATCATATTCAAAAGCTGACAGACAAGACATCTGATTGGTATATTAAGCAATTTGCATGAAGTCAACACAAAAAACTTTAAACGTTAAAGTTATTTGGTGCCACGTCCAAATGTTTCAACTGTCTTTAACTTTCAAGAGCCTCGAACTCATCTAGCGTCATAGAATCAAGTCTACGAGAGGTTCTGTTTGATTGGCCGTTAGAATCATCCGAGTTATCACTATTGTCGTCCGATGTGTAACTGATGCGAGAATTCCATTCAGCTTGCTTCATGTACGATCTATTTCCTGTCAAATCATTGACACAACTTTCCTGTGGGTTTTTGTTGACACCGTTTGAATTGTGCTCACGATTATCTGAATATGATGAACGAGCATCTGAATTGTGTATAATACTTGCGTTACTATGACTACTGTTATAGGTGGAGTAATAGTCACTATCTGTCATCATATGACCGTTTGGTTCAGAATAATTTCCATTCATAATGCCGCCATTTTGTGATAAACGATGAAGTCTTTTAAAGGAAGGAGGTGGCGGATCTATTTTTTTGGGTGTAGTGTTGATGTTAAAATCCAACCGATTTCCACTTGCATCTTGAAGTGGTATTGGCGTAATGATCTTGGTCTTTTCTTTTGAATCTTTTGAATCGTAATTATCACTGTTAAAAGATGATGAGAAGGGATTTGGCTTGATATTCCTACGCAAGACGACACCGTCTGCAGCAGGGTTGTAAGCAGGATTCCAACCGCTGTTGTCGGAATTAGATAAATTGAACGAAAGACTTTCCGATGACATTTCACGATGTCCACTATCAGGTGATTCCGCTTCTAGAGCCGCCTTGGTGTTTTCGAAGGTGGAACTATTTGATATTGAGGTCAGGTACGAGTTGTCCATATCTCTCATTGATGGTAGGTGAACAGGTCCACAGCGAGGGGTCGTAGGGTCAGGTAAAGATGGTACAAACTGAAAGATATCAACAATAAAGATAGAAATCTGGCAGGGAGATGGCGAGAAGGGAGGGGGGAGGGCAAAAAATGTTTAATGCCTACTTATTACAAGTTTAAAGTCCACTTTAAAATAGGTCATTTTTTGACTAACACATGGTTCAATTTTATTTCAATAAATCACTTGCATGTAGGGTATTTAGCTGTGGGAGGAAACCGGAGGACACAGAGAAAAACCCATGAGGTTGGACCTGCGACTTTTGATTCAAAGTCAGACCCTCTGATTAATATGCATGCATTTCACCCAACCACATATTATAGATAGGAGCAGTGATGCTATTTCGCCCATATATTCCGGACATTTCCTATGCTAGTTCCAAAACGTCCGACCATGAATATGCCCGCTCATACATCAAGATTATGGTGAATAATATTGAATATTCCAAATTTATTTGACTATACTGGGTAAATAACTATTACTCATCCCGATTATCGTTGATAATAGGCTGGATTGTGAGGATATAAATTATTAAAATATCATAGATGCATCGTATTATAGATATTTACCTGTGGAGGAGTATGAAAAATCATATCCGAGGATGAGGAGGATGAAACACCCATCACCTTTAATTCTAAATTTTTCACCCGACCAACAAGCTGGGTCACATGATCTAACAAGTCACGATTATGTAGCAGAAGTTGATGTGCACGTGCCTGGAAGAACAAAAAATAATAAGTTACTGAAAATCTCACAATATTGAATCATGCAATTTTCATGCTACATCTATTTTACCTTGCACTATTCCCCCATTTCCAATTAAAGAAAGAAAGAGGGGAGTATAAAAGCTTTTTTTGGGGACTCATATCAAAGTTGCATGGGAATGGCAGCTTGGGAATACAATCACACTTACTACCAAATCATGTGTCTGACCCCTTGTTTGCATAGATGATATACATAAGATTATATGCAGGGCTTTGGACATTTCAGCCACCCAATTCCTTCTGGAATAAACTTTAAGAGAAGCTATGGAATAAAATATGCAACGATTTAGCTAAGCAATATTTTTCAAGTATAAATTACCCATTTCAGGGCAAAATAACCTGTTTCAAACTGACTTTTCAATGCAAAGTTCAGCCAAACATTTGGCAGTCCCCCCACCCCAATCATAAAAGGTGTTGTTGCCTGTAAGTATAAGGGTCCCTTCGAACTATAAAACGAAACCAAAATGAGGTGTTGCCATTTCCGTTTTGTAGTTTGTGTGTTTCTATTCTAATGTTGACTATGATCTCATCACATGTTAATCAACGAGATTAAATGTTTTAATATCATCCTTATAAGACATATAGAAACAGATTTCACAAATTTAAACAACTATATTGATATACTACTTCTGAATTTATTAACATTTTATCTGGTTAATTCCCTGTAGTTATTGTTTTATCTGTTACATGGTTTCTAATTGTTATCTATATATTGTACCATTTCTGTTACAAATCATTATTAACTTGATAACAATACCTGTAGGTGTATCAAAACGTAGCATGTTAATAAATCCATATAGTTGTTTTAATTTGTTTTAATATTATATGAATAGTTATGAAAATGGGTCTGGTTTATGCTGCTGTTTACTAAAATTGTGGAAATATTTCCCACAAATTCTAAAGTCATACCGAGGTAGCAATATAGACTACAAAAATATCATGTGATACAAACTCTGGTACTGTTGCAGGAAGTTGGGTACCATTACAGAGTCTTCCATCCAATCAGGTACACTTCTGTATACAGAAGGGTACCCTGGATATTATGGCCGACAACGACCCTTTCAGCATTACTAATAAAACGGATCATTCTGATTCATTCATATACCTGTGATTCTATTCTAGCAGCTGTCTCTGCAGCAAGTTGATCTTTCAAGAGATGAACCTGGGCGATTGCGACCTGCGTCTGGTGCTGTTGTTGTTCCAGCTGTTGTCGTAGTAACTGCATCTGATGATGGGAACTGAGTGGATATTGTGGTTTATCATCGTAATCACCGAGCATCACCGGAGAAGCTAGGGGAGACGTTAAACTGTTTCTAACGGAACTCTGGGATGTTTTTGTCAGAGCTAAATCTGACGGAGGCGTAGCTTTTATTTCTTTTTGTTCTTCTTCTTCCTTCTTGTTATTCTCTTTATCTTCTAATTCTTTCTCTGAAATAAATAAATAAATATAGGTTGCCAAGCAATGAATCATGCGCCTACAGCAGCTAAAATGTCAGAAAATTGTTGCGTGTGAATCTATATGCCCAGGTCCCAAGTCCACAAAGAATTCTAAGACTTCAAAAACACATTTTTATGGATAACAATTACTATGGTTTATTTCACTGCCAAGGTTTCACAAGTCGTTATCAAGCATATACACAAATGGGCTATTTGTGTATATGCTTGATAACGACTTGTGAAACCTTGTTGAAACGTCGAAGTGAAATAAACCATAGTAATTGTTATCCATAAAAGTGTGTTTTTCATTATGTTCCAATTACTAAATGCCATCCAAAGAAAAATTTCTAAGACTTAATTAACAATTTACTCAAAATCGTGCGTCTTATTTTAACTAAAATATAGCCCCTTATATAACTTTTGTTATTTTAATGTATCACATACATCAATAAGAAACTATGTGCAAAGTTTTGGGTTTCTGGATCAAAAGATATTTCTCATAAACAATGATTGAAAGTTGAGTAAATCCTTAACATTAGTCTAAGAATGCTTTGTGAAACCAGGGCCTAGGTAAAGAAAGTGGGTTTTACACGTGGGTGGTTACTGTAAATATTGCACTATGTTAGGATGCCAAATGACAATTTTTGTATAAATTGTCAACTAACGAGAGTACAAATAGATCGGATTAAATACTGGAATATGTTACTAACCTTTATTCGATAGTTTCTCTTCATCAAATCTCTCGTCCAGACCATCGTTACCGGCTGTATGTATGTTTAACTTGTGACAAACTTCAAACGCTTGACCAATTGTACGAACTATTCTCATCGCTTGACTCTGTAATATAATTAAATATAGAGTAATGAAATGAAGTTGGGGTTTAACATCCTACTTTTCTGAACGAACCTGGTTAATGAAGATGGGCTATGCAGGACTTTGGTTTTTTGTCCCATCTGAATGACTAGACCTGTTCCTTGCCAGTTCAGCAAAATTGTATGAGAACAGATTCATATAAATATTAACATCTTTTTATATTCCTGAAAATGAAGAAAGGAAGAACCCTGCATCAAGTACTCTTACTGTGAGGTGTCTGTGATATAAACTACACAAAGCACATTTAAATAGAAAACTTTACAAAACTTTATATACTGGTACTATAGGCAGGGCTGGTTTTTGGAACATATGACCAATTTCCCCAAATTGGGCCCCGCACTAGAAAGGGGCCCTGCAGTGAAACTCACCAACTTATACATTTTCAAGGCAATCTGTATTCTTTAACTGTATATATACATGTATTATCAATTACTAATTGTGAAGTAAAGTTGGCCTTAAATATGAATGAATATAAGCCTGGTTAATGTTGCTTGTATTCATATCCTATAACTTTGGGCCTCCCAAATTGGGACCCACATTTTCTACAACCAACCCTGACTATAGGTAAATAATTACAACACTACCACATATTTAGAGTATTTTGACAGAGAAGTCGAGTGAATTAACAAAGTGGGTACCGGTAGCCATCATTATGTATTTTTATAGATATGTCATTGGCATAAAAAAAACAGTCCGAGTTGACCCCTCATAGTCACAGATTACTCACCTTTCTACTTTTAGGGTTCTTTTTATATCTGGCCAACATGATGACAGATTGTCTTCAAATCACAGATATATATATATATATATGTAGTTTTGTATAATGTCTAAAGATCACAGATACATGTATACACAGTTCTCAGATGTCCATATTACTTAAAAACCACTCTTGTATAAAATCTCTAAAGATCACATATATATATATATACACAGTTCTCAGATGTCCATATTACTTAAACGCATTCTTGTATGTAATAGTGTCTAAAGATCACAGATATATATACAAAGTTCTCAGATGTCCATATTACTTTAAAACACTTTTGTATAGTGTCTAAAGATCATAGATATATATACATACACAATTCTCAGATGAAGTATAGTTTCTAATAAATGTCAGTGACATTAAATCAAAAAGATTTTCATAATTTTTTCTTTCTTGTATCTGTCAACCAATAAAACCAGACGATGTCTGAAAACTGCTCAAAAAACTACAGATATAAAAAACCCAACAAGGAATGGTAAATTTAAACAGCAGAATAAAATCTCAAAACCAAGTTAGTTCAAATCAGAAAATGTTCGAAAACTGATTAAATAACTACAAACAAAACAAATAACCCAGAATGCTAAGAAACTAACACTTAAATCCTAAACCAAGTTAATCCAAAGGTCTGGAAGAAAACTGCTTAAATAACTCCAGACTAAACACTTAATGCTAAGAAACTACACACTTAAATCCTAAACCAAGTTAATCCAAATGTCCTGACAATAATTGAAAACTACTTAAATAACTACAGATAAAACAAACAACCCAAAACAGTAGAAAACTGCACGCTTAAACCACAAAGCAAGTTTAATCAAAATATCAGGAATAAGATACAGAATGAGAGACGTCTGATAAAACAGCCAGCAGACGTCAATATACCACAAATAAAAAAGTAACATATATCATATACAAAACTATCAAATCAACTGGTTTAAACTGCTTTTACTTCTTGAAGAGTTTATCAAATCTTCTAACCATAACAACCTTCTTGTCTGATCTACGATAAAAGTCTGTCTTTGAAACGTGAACACCGGCTCACCTTGTGAACTCTTTAACACCAGAAATATGATGTTAAGAGTTATCAGCCCACGTTTACCTTGATAGCGTATCAATAACATAATCATCGCAAACCTTCTTTCATTTAAAAAATGAAGGTAATTTACCATCTACATCGAAGCTACATTTAATTACCGCACCCCCCGCACCCCACCCCAAAAGAAACAAAATAACAATTTCTGTTATCTTGATACCTGAGGCAGATGTTTTCTCAATAGAAGAAGATAATCACTTTATGTTTTCTATTTTTGTTTTTTCTAGTTTTTATTTCATGTAATCTAAAACATATTTAGAGAAACATGTTCATAGAAAATATCATTAATATCAGTAATATGTTTGAAAACATGATTTAACACCAAATGTAAGGATACTTTCGAAAATTTTACATTTCATTATAATCCAAGAATAAAACTAAAAAAATTACGTAAAATTCATGAATATTAATCTTTTTTTTTTACAAAACTTTTACATTTTAATTACATTAATAATACAACACCCTTCTATTATATAAAAGTTTGTTTATCTTTTTAATGGTGTTATTTATTTTGTATTCAGGTTTTATATTTAATTCACGCTTTGTTTAACGCCCCATCCGAACGATTACACAGTGCAACACTGACAGAGGGAAACCATGTTGGATAATCCTAAGGAACTATCACGGCAAATACCAGGAGCGAACCCGATCCCTCTTCGTTACTAACTAAGCCACCTCAGCTCACAACAGAGTGATAAAAGCAGTGTTTAAGACACCTCAGCTCCCTACAGAGTGATAAAAACAACTCCAGCTCCTTACAGAAATGAATGCCACTATGATATACCACATGGCATCTATTCACTTCATCAACATCTTCAAATTGAACTACAATATTAGACCTGGGAGATCTCACCTTTAAATATTGTAAATCTACACCGCGACCCACAGACAGATGAAATTCATCTATTTATCGTACTTTCAGATAAAAAAATTCCCTTAATAAAAACAACTATTCCCAGGTGGTCGACAAATACAGCGATAAACGGAACAAAAAAATCACAGCCTCGATTTATCACTGATTTATTTCGTGGGGTTTCTGATATTTTAGACAGCCTGGCATTAGATATAATATATCAAGAAAAGGTACAAGCTTGACTCATATTAAAAAAAAAAAACAAGAATTATTTGAATCTACTAAAGAAATGACAAGTGGTATGAGATGTTACAGGACACCACGTCCCTACTTCTCCGTAATTGGACAATAAGTTTTACATTCAAGAAACATTGATAAGCTCAGGTAAACAAATAATAGATCATTTTCTTATAAAAATAAACATTTAATAAAAAAAAAAAGTAGTCAAACGTGTCTTAAATTGGATGATTTCAAAATTTCTAAATTAAACAATAGAATTAATTAATATTTCATTCCATTGTTTTCTATAGTCTAGTGAAAATAATAACATGAAAAGAAATGAAATCACACCAGAATCTACACAATAAAAAAAATATTTCTAAATAGGAAAATGGATAAAAATAGAAAAGATACCAACTCACAAAAACTGATAGCAAGAATTGAAATTTCACATTAAAAACTAAACGCACATAAATCGAATAAGTTTTCTAGATATCCTGTTATTGCTATCTTGGTAAGATTTAAATTGAATCTCTGTGCACACATCACCGAATAAAAACTTCATATTTCCTTCCTGAAAACATCAAACTTTTCCATTAAAACTTCCAAATCCAATTTTCTATCAGCAGAGAAAAAAAAAATCCTAACTTTTTTTTATCCTGAAGCCACCCTGATAGTTGTCTGTTGCGAAGATTTGAAAATCTGTCTACTAACCAGTACTAGCCTGGCCATATAGTTTTACCATGTGTTACACATGTAATGCCCAGTAGAACTGTAAGATTACTATCTACATATATACTGATATCTGATACCTATAATTCTTCAATAACAAATATACACCAGGGCAATACGCATCAATATATCACAGGTTTGTACTTATATCTCATGTATACTCTATAACTCCCTCAACACCTGGCGTGTTTATATTACTTATTTTACCTGTTTCTACAGTTCTACCCTGTTTATATTAGATATCAAACCAGAATATTAAGAGGGAATTATACATCCGCATATCACAACTACAACTGGGGTTATATTTCAATATATAACACATATGACTAAAGGGATTATACATCAGTATGACTTTGGATTCTACATCATTATATCACAAATACGACTGGGGATTATACATCAGTATATCACACATAAGACTGGGGATTATACATCAGTATATCACACATAAGACTGGGGGATTATAAATCAGTAGATCACACCTTTGACTGGGGATTATACTTCAGTATATCACAACAACGACTGGGAATTATACATCAGTATATCATATATAAGACTGGGATTATACATCCGTATATCACACCTATGGTTGGGGATTATACATCAGTATATCACACCTCTGACTGGGGATTAGACATCAGTATATCACACATAAGACTGGGGATTATAAATCAGTATATCACACCTACGACTAGGGTTTATACATCAGCATATATTATTTACGACGGGGGGGGGGGGGGGGGGAGGGGGAATATACATCAGTATATCACACCTCTGACTGGGGATTAGACATCAGTATAACACACCTACGACTAGGGATTATACATGAGTATATCACACATTAGACTGGGGGTTATACATGAGTATATCACATCTACGACTAGGGATTATACAATTTGGGATTAAACTTGAGTATATCACACATATGACTGGGGATTATACATTCGTTTATTACATCTACTACCAGGGGATAATGCATCAGTATATCACTATTGCTGGGGATTACAGTATATCACTACAGCTTAGAATTATACATCAGTATATCAGTATATCACACATTCAACTGGGGATTATACATCAGTATATCACACCTATGACAAAGGATTATACATCAGTATATCACACCTACAGTGACCGTCTGTTAGTCAGCCAACCAAAGCCATATTGAGCTGTTCTCCCCATTTGGATTTCAGAAACCAGAGGTATTGGGTGAAGATGACCTTAGGGTCAAAAGCTACCAGCTGACTGAATAGTTCAATATAAAATGTTTCTAGCTATGCCAACTTCTCAACTTAAAATTCAGGAAA